TACAGTACTTGAAATCTCGTGGAAAATAAGATAACCATAATCAGAAAGAATGTTCATGTAATGATTTTTGCGCTGCATAATTTCAAAAGATCAAAACTAAATAGTTATTGTTTTTTCAATACTATTGGTGGAAATCTTTTTTGATAAACAACAAATGTTACATGTATATTTATAGGATATTATACTAGATTACACATGATACTAGAGAAACACAAATCATTTCACCAAAGTTCTATGACAGTTTGCATATATCTCAGAAGATGAAGACGTTTTAAGAGAACTCGAGGAATTCGTGGTATCGCCATCAACTTCACAATCATTTCATTTAAAATACACTAATGAAATGTATGGTATAATTGTATATTGCATTTCACCTAAAAATACTAAAATCATTTCGAAAACAATTCGAACATAGTTAAAAGTCTCCAAAACTCTTTCAAACATTTAATAAACTACTCGTAAATAACATTTTCGGTTGACCACACTTTTACTACGTAGTACTAAAATACTACATAGTGTAATGTTTCACTGTCAACGATTATGCACTCACATTGTTGAGTAGTATACCGGAGTCTCGGCTTCAGCGGAATCACTTCATGGTATCCTAATCTTGTCTTCCCAATCACCTTCATTTGTGCAATGGTTTGAGTGAAGGTATGCAGCTTCTGGAAGTACTGCTTAAAAAGTTACCCAAAGAAGTAATAGGTATCCTTAAGTTTCACCCAAGAGAAAATTTACAATATTCACTTTCAGCCCCCGATTTTCGAATATACATAATAATGATACAATTACAAAAGTCACTAGACCAGTTCAAAAAGGAAGTCTACGAAAGCGTAACACTTTCGAATAGCTCGGTTCAAGAAGTACGTAGATTTTACAGAAGAAAGTAATAAGTTTATTCATTGTGTACCCTAAAACGTTCAGGGGTCATTTACCGCATTAATTTAATGAATATTACAGAAAATTTGAACTTGTGAAAAAGAGTCGGACTGATAATATGCAGCAAACACCAAAAGTATATTCGTATTATATTCAGATATTGTCCATCCGAATCTACAAAGTAAATTCATGCAAATACGCTATCCAGCAATATAGTCGTCAGGGCTTACATCCTTGTCTCATTGAGTACGATAAAATCTAATAATCAGGATTCCTTTTAAAAATTGTGGTAGTTTCTTAACAAGAATGTATTTGGAGATGAAAAATTGAGAAAAGCTATTCGATGAAATACCGGCGTAATACTTCCCGAGTAGGTGGTCGAGAACAGGTCCGAGAGCAGCTATTGGTCGAGATGAAATCGAATCGTTTGAAGCCGCTGCCCAGAAGAAATTATGAAACAACTTTTCCTCTGAGCCCAAAGCTATACTAAAAACGGTCATCAGGCCGATAATGAAAAATAAAAAGAATCTGGGTTAGTTTAAATACAAATTATGGTTGTGACAATATTTTACGAGTCGATTTCATTCAAGTCGAAGATATTTTCCCTTCTCTACCTCGCCTCGGCCGTTCTCTCTCCTCCGGCAAAATCGACCTACCTCCGCATTCGCCAGTCTTTGTTAAGGAGGAGAACATTAGGTGGAAGAGGACGGCAGCAAATAGGCGAAGAGAGTGGGATGTGTATAAATTGCTTACTGTACAGGATGCCCGAGGAGGAATCGTCGAAAAGTCGAAAAAAAGTTCTTAAGACAATTTTAAGCATATTTTGTCAGAAGTGTAACCCAGAAATAAAAAAAGCACCCAATTTACACAATTCGACTGCAATTTCATTTATGGGTTAATTTTTTATTTCTAAACAACTATAGTAATTTCTTTTGTAAATAGTAAACAATTTACATGTTTCTATGCTTCTGCAATGCACATTTTTGCCTAGAAAGCATTTTCAGGCCAGCTTGTGAGTGTTTATTGCGTCTCAGCCATTCATAATATCCAAATAGTTCATTAGACAAAATATGCTTAATATTGTCTTTAGAGCTTATTTACGAATTTTTCACGTTTCTTCCCCGGACACTGTATGGCAACACTTGCATTCCTTCTTAGCGTCCGAGTGGAAGAATGTGATGAATTGTTCGGGCAAAAAGCGGGTATAGCTGGACAAGGAATCGATTCTTGAAATGCAGCCCATAAAATAAATCACCGGAACACTTGTAGTCCATTGATGACGACACTTTCTGGTACTCAGTATCACAACAGAAAGGGAAGATGAGCTCCATTTTGCCGTGAGTAGGAATGGAAATGAGATTCAATCCGCAATTGGAGCTCAGAAATTGTTCGTATGACCTCTTAGAGGCCGCATACGACAACAGAGTCGTAGACTTGGAAGCACGGCGCGTGTCGAAACGAACAGCACGCAAACACAAAGAAGTCTTTTGTGCTTGAACGCACAAGATCTGGGCACAAATGGCGACGCCTTCTCTGCCTTGGAAGTGCGTCGGAGGCCCAGGGCAGGAATCGGCGGCGCTAGCGGCATGCGAGCGTCGATGGCAGCGATCTTCTCGTCCTGGATGCTTTCAGGGCACGGGTTTTGTCGATCCCAGTGGGAGCAGGGCACAGTTAACAACAGCTTTCTAGACTTTTCGGCGTCCAAGACACGGCGTTTGCCGGACCACGCGAGCGCAGTCTCCGGCCTTGGATGCGTCCAAGAAAACGCGTTGGGGGAATGAACTGCGCGCGGGCGAAGGTGACAACAGCCATCTCTCCTTGGGCGCGCCCAAGGCACGACGTGTGCCGAGTCCAGAGGCCGGGCGAGGACGCAGGCAACCGCCTTGGATGGTTGCCGGGGCGTGCGGAGCTCCAAGATGGAAGAGCCGTATGGCCTTATATGCGACCAGCGCAAGGCCTGAGCCGCATGCAGGGGCTCGAAAACGCAGACAACCGCCTAGGATGGTTGCCGGAGGGCCAGAGCAGGGCGCTGGCGAAGACGGCAACAGTCCCACGGCCTTAGATGCGACCCGCGAACGCGTGGTGAGCCCAGCGACGCGCGGGCGCAGACGACAACCACCTTGATGCAAAGCTATGGCGCGGGCTGAGTCTAGCGGCGCGCGAGCGACGAAGCCAACAGCTCCAAGGCCTTAGATGCGCCCAGCGCAAGGCGTGGGTCGAGCCTAGCGACACACGGGCGTAGACGGCCACCGCCTTGGTGCAACGCCATGGTGCGGGCCGAGCCAAGCGGCGCGCGAGCGACGAAGCCAACAGCTCCGAGGCCTGGGCCGAGGCCTGGGCCGAGCCTTGCCGCCCGGGCTGCGCGCCGGAGGGCCGAGCCTCGCGGCGCGCGAGCGACGAAGACAACAGCTCCGAGGCCTGGGCCGAGCCTTGCCGCCCGGGCTGCGCGCCGGAAGGCCGAGCCTAGCGGCGCGCGGGCGGGCGCTCGCCGTCCTCGAACGCCGCGTTGTGGTAGTCGGCGAGCGCGCGGAAGGTGTCGAGGCGCGGCGCGCGGCCGCCGCCGTGGGGGTGGTTGAGGGCGCCCGCCGACGCCCCGAAGGGCGGCACCGCGCCGCCCGCCCACCCCTCCGCCGGGTAGGCCGCCTCCCCGTGCACCGCCTCGTCCAGCCCTGCCAACACACACACGAAGCACCGGTCACAACAATCTACGTAGAGGAGTTGAAGAAACACAATAGGTACATAGCTTGTATACTATTATACGTTATACTACACTCTTCTACTTTGCAAAAAACAGTTTCCAAATAAATAAAAAGGAATGGAAATTAAGCAGAGAGTAAGGATGGCAGGGAAAGAGAACATAGGAGAGAAAGCAACATATCTGAAAAGGAAATTTGCGACGCTCAGGCGAGCGAACGATTTTTTATTGTCTAAAGCAGTTGAGCATCGCGGAAGATCGCATCTCTCTGCGAAATTTTGTAAATGCTGAAAATGCCTAGAAGTGTTCTTTCGACGAGTACAGATGGAGGTTAGATAAAGAATTCACGAGTGATTTAGCTTGTTTCGATATTATAATATCTTATTCAAATCATGGTGCAAAACAAGTGAGAATATTAACATGAATACTTTGATTGAAAAATATACAGTGAGACCACGCACATCGTAAGTTATTGGACAACCCACAATCGGCAGAAATTAAAGAGACCACCAAGCACCTGCCATCAGATAAGATTTTGTAATATATTATGTTCCAAGAAGATTGCATGGTTCACATTAATCCACATTACGCAGGTATTGGAGACAAGGCTACAAAATAAAAGCTTATAACTAGCTAATTTATTCGCTTTGGAGAACTTTTTAAGGAATACGTGAAATTTATATTTTTGTATTGCGGTTTGGTTTCCTGCTCATCGTAAATTCAGATAGGGATGGAACGGAATCAGCTGGGGAATGTTCCTGGGGGATGACCACTTTCTCACTGCACTCGTCAAGTAATATTATCCCCGTATTGGTGTTTTTTAGAGTACTATTCGGAGCCTTCCGACAGTTAAAATGTTGCATATGATTCACGTGTGATCTTAGATCTTAATCCCCACTGAAGATTGATTGATTGATTGATTGATTGTTAGTGATGCCTGGCACGTCAACGGCAAAGGTCATTATTCCCGTAAGCGTAGTCCATGCTTTTCCTCCAGTGTTGACGGAGATCTTTCCCCGCTGGTTGGTGAGATCCGGCACAAATCTACATGCTAACGGGGTTTTTCCTAGACAGGTATCTCCCTCCAGAAGAGCACCGCCCCAGCCGGAACAAGCCCTAAGCGCCCGAGCGGTCTCCCGGCACGTGGGGTAGTGTAGTGCATGGTAGTGTGAGTGTATGTAAGGGGTGATTATAGGATAAGGAAGTTTAAGGTACGATCGCGCGCGTTTAGTGGCCCATTTGATAGGGTACTGCTCCAGCATTTGCCTGGTGTAGACCGGAGAAACCACACAAAACTACCGATCTGCCCTGCAGTTACAAAAGTTGATGCTCTGAGCCACTCTCCCGGTAACTCTCTCAGAAAGAAACCAGGGCGGTTCTGGCTATGGTCTGGCCATTCCAGACCTTTCCGTTGAGCCCACTCACCGCGCAATTCCTCGTCGGCCGACACGCGCAGCAGGCCCAGCAGGCGCAGCGCGCCGAACAGCACCAGCGCGCAGACGAGCGCCCACGCGCAGATGGCCGCGCCGCCGGCCACGCGCCACAGCAGTGCCTGCGCATGCGCACACGCTCAGTCGCACAGCACCGGGAAAGGACGTGGTTAAACTAGCTTTGGCCAAAAAGGGAAGTGTCAATGCAAAAATGAAGGACAAAATAGCAATTTAAATTAACAACAAATAAATTGCATGTTAGTTTATTATCTTATTTATGTAATTAGCTGCCACCGGGTTATGCCCATTCGCAATTCAAATACATTTATCTTATTATCTTTAACACTTGCTATTAAAGTAAAACTTGTTTCTCGAAGTGGAGTAACTCGACATACGCGGAACCGGAAGTGCAAGGCTTATTATCTGACTAAACTAACGCATCGGAGGCGAAAAATGATCATGGCGTTTTTTATTTTCCTTGCCGAGGCCTAAACGTTGACAGAAACCCAATTTCCAGTCTCAATGAAGTTGAAAGTGAACTCTCACGAGCTACTTCCCGTGTGTGCCACCGACCCCGCGGAACTCCTCCGTTGAGGAATATCTGTACTCAAATACTCCGTCGAGGTTATGTAATTCTGCGAGAGAGAAATGCCAATATTCTGACATACAGATAAAAACAACCCTTTTTGTGGATTTCTGAACAGTAAATAGTATTTTTCTTTATCCTATATATAATATATTACTTACGTAGATGAGTCAAAATAGATGTTTTGGGGACCCTTAACAAATTTTCTTCAAAATGTCCGTCTGCTTGAATACAATACTAGTAAACCGAATTTTCTGATCGATCTGACTGACTTTGCAGGCCCTGAAATTTTACAAGGATATTTTATTTTGGAGGCACTCTACACGAGGTACCACGACATTTCCTAAATGTTCTCAAATTCAATTCTAAGTTATTTTGCTATAACATACAAAAGTACGCCCCCCCCCAAAAAATGGAGAATTATGTTTCAGAAAAAACTGATTTTTTTAAAAAAAATGCCTTACTGGCACATCTATATTATTGAAGATACAGAGTTTTCATTAATGGGCTTTTTCCTTCGAACTTACAGCTTTAAAAAGGCATAATACAGTTTTCATATGAGTTTTCATGTAATTTTGAGTGAAATCGTGTCAAAAACATTCGTAAAAAATATTTTCTCAAAGCTGACTGTAATTAGATTATTTAAATGTTTTGTCGTACCACGCGTCTTTCAGTCTTTCAGTGTTCATATAAACAATGATTTTGAGCCTACTGCACCGTAACACGTCTCGTCCTCTGTATCCTTAAAGTTAGAAATGAGTGAGTTTGTTGATATTACATCACCAGAAATGTTTTTAAATATCGATGTTTTAAAAGTGTTTTAGTAAGCTCTAACACTAGGTTTGCCAGAAGAAGAAAATAACTAGTGAATGGACGTGTCTATTAATTCATAATTAAGATTTAACTGACAAAACAATAAAAAATACAACTAATAAACTTAGTCTGATAGCTTAAGCCGACAGAGTGATTTCAAGGAACAGAGTTTTCTCAGTGGGCCGAATAACAATGTGGGAAGACTCTCTACGCGTTCAGCACTTGAACTGACCGCTCTCTACGTGCGAAATACGAGCAATGGCATAGAAAATACCAGGGGTTGTCTCTCAGGAGAGAACTCGGTTGCTAAAAGAAGGTATAAATAGCATACGCTTCGTTGGAACACTTAAACTGACAATGGTACCTTAAGTTACTGCTTCACATTTTAACTTTTACAATTTTTTTATAACGTAACTTTTTTATTCACAAATAACACATTTAAATCTAAAAACATCGAGCTTAAAATGCCGAAGTTAAACCACATCAGTTTGATTAATAGATGTTTAAAACCTTAATTCTTTCTAGAGACGTCGATGTTCGAGAGCATCGACGCGCGCCGTGAGCTGACCTGCAGGGCCTCCGGCGAGGGGTTGAGCGCGACGCCGGAGCCGTCCCCGGCGAAGAGCGAGGCCGCAAGCAGCCCCCAGGCGCCGCCGCCGCCGTGCACCGCCACCACGTCCAGCGGGTCGTCCACGCCGCACCGCCACACCACGCTGCGCAGCGCCAGGTACAGCGCCCCGGCGCCCACGCCCGCCACCAGCGCCGCCCACAGCGCCAGCACGTCCGCCGCCGCGCACACCGACACCTGCCGCACGCCCGTGCTCA